CGGAGACCGTACCCCGTACTTTTGAGAGGGATGACCCTAACCTTAGTTTCCCGCTTATATTAGGGGAACAAGTTAAACGCGGGGGATATATCTAGATGTTCAGAACTGATCTTAAACCCCAACCAAGAGGATATCTAGATGTTCAGAACTGATCTTAAACCAATCAAGAATTTAAGATCAATTCTAAACATCTAGATATGTCCTCTTGGTTAGTTTAAGAATCTACTACAGTTTGTAAATATTTTATCACGTCAGTACCCGATACCTTGACAACTATAAAACTTTACTGTCACAATCATGGGTACTGATAAAACACAGTAGGGGGGTAATATTTTCCCAGGGTTACCAAGGAAAACTACAACTACAAGGAAATTATTATATTATGTGAAGGATGGAACAAAAATGACTGTTACACAGTAAGTATACGTGTTTACCTGTCTTTCTGCATGATCAGCCTGCCAGCCTGTGATATGAGAAATTAAATCTTCTGAGTAGTAGTTAGCCAAAGAAGGGGTTAAACTGGGCACTGTGTGTTTCAGCATTGCTGATGCTAGAGAACTGGTTCCTGTGCCACCAAGACTTTGTAGACTGCTCATACTAGATGTGGGACTACCTCGTCTGAAAGAAGATTTTTATAAAAAAACTGGATTATTAATGGGATCTGATAAACAAAGTGTTCTTGACATCTGTAAAACTAAAACATTTTGAACAAAACTTTTTTATTAAATAAACAAGTTTTTTTACTGAAATAATTCTTCTTTTGAACATTTCTCCATTATTACAAACCCTTAACTGATCAGTAGATAAAAAATGGTTGCTAAATATACAACATTTTCTTATTTACAAAGGGGATAGGAAAACAGGTTGTGTTCAGAAAAAGAAGAAGAAAACAAAACTGAAATGTGGGAGATCTCTGTGGTGGCATTTAACATAAAATAGTGATTTCTATAAATCTTTAAACTTACCCTAACACTAATGAACTTGCAATATAATTACAAAACATAAATCCTACATATAACTTAGTAAGAAACAATAAAACTGTCACACATATTTACCAGTCTATGACATCAAAGTAAGGAGTTGTTTACTGTAATAAAGTGTTTGGTAGCTTCCATTCCCCACATGGAATACTGTAACACTTTCTTTTAAAGGGAGGTGGGTAAATAAGTGAGAATTATGAAAAAATACAGGCTTGGATACAGTATATGGTTAACACAACACACAGGTGGAGAAGGGTATTTTAGATTAGTTTATGGTAGACAAATCTTGCTTGGAGTATTTTATTGATCCATTATCATGTTTTGCAAGTCGGCTAGATATTTTTGCTTTGGAATGCTGACTTAAAAAATCAACCTGTAATATTGCTAATGACTATGTAAACATTGCTAAGGAAGATTTAATCACTACCTATTTTTTACTGAAACTACTTTGAAAATTTTAATGAATGAAAATGTGGATACTTCCATCCAAAACTCAAAAACTCATGAATGTCAAAGTTCATCCTTCATATCATATATAACATATTTTGCCAATCTCACATTTACAGTAAGTTTAAAGGTTAATACAAATTACTACTTAAAACTTACTAGTGCTCCTATATGATTCTACAGAACAGGTAAAGTTTTTGAAGTTTTAAGTTAACATTGTAACTAACAAGATCTAATGTAGGCACAAATGTATTTGACTGTAAAAAATCAGCTTTAGATATTAAAATGTTACACAAGTGGTTTTGTCCCTCATGTACCTTACCACCCCTCCCAAGAGTTTACAAATCCCTTGTTTACATTCCTATATATTTATGATTATAATACAACTAAACCATATAATAGGAGCTATAATTCAACTCTTTTGTGACAAGGCATTTTGCATTCCAAAAACTAAAGAAATTTGACAAAAGGTCAAACATTATGTATTTAAATTATTTATTGTATATTACATATATATCATTGAAACCAGTGTGAAATACCCTTATCAAAGTACGTCTACATGGTTCCTGAGAATGAAACTAGCAGGCATACCAAGTATACAGGGTGGTCCAAAATTATCTTTCCTATTTTGAAATTTAATAATTAAATAACTAAAGAAATACAACCATGCAGTTTTCAACATCTTGTAGCTCAACTCAAATAGTTTTTACTGACATGTCAGTAGACTTCTACATGTGCACCATTAGTGGCTCTCAGTATGTCTTAACCGATATTCAATTTCTGTCCATGTTCACTGCAAAATGCCCACAGTTATAGTGGTGATGGAATCCGTTATCTTAGACTTTAGCTCCATAATGTTTGCTATAGGTGTGCAATATACGATATCCTTAACATACCCCCATACTTCTTACCTGTACTGCTATTTGTAATTACACTGCACCACAACCACAGATTTGGTCTTTGAAAGCCAAATGATGCATTGAGCCTTTTCTTACACGGTTGCCATTTTATAGGATAACACTACTCACTGGAGTGAAAAAAAAATATGGCAATAAAAACTGTTTGAGTTTGGCTACAAGATGTTGAAAACTGCATGGTTGTACTTCCTTAGTTATTTAATTATTAAATTTTAAAATAAGAAAGATAATTTTGGATCACCCTGCATTATGGTAAACAAAGGGTTAAGCTAAGTATATCTGCAGAGTATTTCAATTAAAACACATCAGATAAATCAATTCAAATAAAATTCCACTAATTGTCTTGGCTTTGTGTGTTGTATTTTAGTTGGTACCTTACTATAATATTTAATTTTTAGCAAGCTCCTAGTTTCTTTATGCCTTACCTCGAGGAATGAGAACTATAATCTGATCCAGGTGAGGCTTGACCCTTCTCTGCATCACCCTGGCCATCAACTGTGGGATGTAAAAGCTGAGAATCCGTAAGCTGTATCAAGTTATTTAAATGGGAGTTGTGGCTAGTCTGCTGTAACTGACTGGTGGAAGAGAATCCTTTCTGCAAGACAGATTCAGCTTGGCTACCTGATCCTGATGCATGAGGTGACCGACTTAGACTACCTGCTGTACATGTTAAGATAAACACACCAAACTGTTGAACATATAACATCCACAGAAAAATACCTAGAACTAACACTGAATTAACAGTAATAAATCTCTCAACTTTGACAAGTCACTGCACTAGTTGGAGATATTAATATCAACAATAAACACGTACATTTTGACAAGTCATTGCACTAGTTGAAGATGTTAACCCTTTATCAACTCCACCCATACACTTACGCCAAGTACGGTAATGGAAAAAACCCTTCCATGGATGATAAAGGGTTAATATCAACAATAAACACATGTACACTTTGACAGGTCACTGCACTAGCTGAAGATATTAATATCAACAACAAACATGTGTACACTTTAATGGGTTACTGCAGTAGTTCATAATATTAATATCAACAACAAACACGTGTACACTTTAACAGGTTACTGCACTAGTTCATGATATTAATATCAACAATAAACACATGTACACTTTGACAGGTCATTGCACTAGCTGAAGATATTAATATCAACAACAAACACGTGTACACTTTAATGGGTTACTGCACTAGTTCATGATATTAATATCAACAACAAACATGTGTACACTTTAACAGGTTACTGCACTAGTTCACGATATTAATATCAACAATAAACATGCGTACACTTTAAAAGATTACTGCACTAGTTGAAGATATTAATATCAACAATAAACACCTGTATAATTTAGTGATCAATCTAAATACCTGTATGTGCTAGACTAGTCACTTGTTTTGTTAACTGCAAGGCTTGCTGAATGGTCCTTAGAGCTGGAAAAGATAAAAGTCTTTACATGTGGTAAGTATTCCGGGTTAAAATATCCAGTTCACATCCATTTCCTAGCTGTCAAGTCACATTTATCTATCAATACATCTGAGTTAATGAAAGTAAAAAAATTACATACAAACATATTCTTGTTCATAAAGAAAACTTGTATAATCTCAATACTGAAATGCCAAGAACATTATTTTATTGTTATTTTTCAAAATACAACTGATGGATATGTCAATATTTTATAATAAAAAGCTAATTATTAAGAAACGAGGAAATAAAGTATTTGAGCCCAGAATTAATGCAATTTTCAACTCCTTAAAAACAATTTCAGGTTGCCTTGTCTCACAGCACTTAGTTGCAGGTACAAATAGTAAAAGCAAATTTTATTCATGAACACTACCTGTTCTCAAAGTAACTGTTAACAGCCTTCAAGTTTTAAAGAGATCAAGCCATGTTCTCTGACACAACAGTTACATTCTAATATTAATATGATATTTGGAATTAGTTAATTCCTGCTACATATCTAAGATTATAAATAAATATAGTATTATGAAAAATTTCAAACCAAGTAATTTAGTGAGATGTGGAACAACATGAGTTAAAGTTTTACATGACACATGTGAACATTACCTTTTAGCAAGTAGAATAAACAAGTTTTAGTGTAAAAAATATTTAAGCAAACCAAGTTCTTTATAGTAGTGTATCTGAACAGTAAAATCCAAGATTTGACTTCTGTAGAACTGGTTAGTAACACTCAAGTAAGTTAAGCCTTTCCCAACTGATGGGTGTTCGGGTTACTCAGATTACACATTCACAAATCCACTTTAAAAATGTCATTAAAATATATAATACTATAATTGTTTAAAAAATATTGGAGAATTAATACTTTAGTATTATATGATGTTTATCGTATAAACATATTTCATTAAATAATAATTCTAAATCTTCTTTATTTCTGTCATATTTCTAATTGTCTAAACCATATCGTTCTTCTAGATTTTTCTTAATGGTTCCTAAGCTTTATTTATTCTTCCAAACCAAATTTTAGTTTTTTCCACACAGTTTAACATTTATATTATGTTTCTATGCTTTCTGTTTGTCCAACTGTGAATATATTGTGTGGACTCAGGTTTATTGCATTGCCCAGAATGGTCTTCATAACTTTATCATTTCTCAGCATTAGAAGTACACCTTATAGCTCTAGGCTTTAGTGTTGTGTGATATGTATTCCAATATTGCCGAGTGCTTTCGAAAATGGTGAGGTTGGGTTTAGCCAATGATTATGTTAGAGGTGCCGACATTTGAAAATATGAAACAGTACCAGACCACAAACCTTGGCCAAATTCTTCAGATGCTTTGATCGCCACAATGCCGTTCATTTATAAAACTTCACTGTTACACTACCTTTGTACATTTTCAAAAACCACAAAAGTAAGCTAAGTTCAAATAATACCTGCTTTCTGATTTTCCTAAGTAGAGTTTGAACATTAATATGTTTACCTCTGCTCGTGTGGGTGAGAACTCCTTGTCTAGGTTAAATTAAAGATGCAATACCAGTGATGAAGATATGGCACTTCAGTCTTTTTTTTCAGAATGTTATTTCTACCTCTGTTATGAGAAACTTTCAAATCTAATTGGCATGGTTGATAGTAAATACAATATTCTGATTTGTTCGATTTTGTAATTACTAGGAGCTTAGCATTGTTTTCTTTCTTACACTCTGATACCACTTGGGTTTATTTTGTAATTACTGGAAGCTTAGTGCTGTTTTCTTTCTTACACTCTAATACCACTTGGGTTTATTTTGTAATTACTAGAAGCTTAGTGCTGTTTTCTTTCTTACACTCTAATACCACTTGGGTTTATTTTATAATTACTAGGAGCTTAGTGCTGTTTTCTTTCTTACACTCTTATTGCTCCTAGTAATTACAAAATAAACCCAAGTGGTTAGTGCTGTTTTCTTTCTTACACTCTAATACCACTTGGGTTTATTTTGTAATTACTAGGAGCTTAGCACTGTTTTCTTTCTTACACTCTAATAGCTCCTAGTAATTACAAAATAAACCCAAGTGGTTAGCACTGTTTTCTTTCTTATACTCTAATACCACTTGGGTTTATTTTGTAGTTACTAGAAGCTTAGCGCTGTTTTCTTTCTTACACTCTAATACCACTTGGGTTTACTTTGTAGTTACTAGAAGCTTAGCGCTGTTTTCTTTCTTACATTCTGATACCACTTGGGTTTATTTTGTAATTACTAGGAGCTTAGTGCTTGCTGTTTCATTCTTACGCTCTGATACCA